TGGAATATAAGGCGCACTGTCGGCTTTTGAGATAATTTGAGTTTTTTAGGTGCGCCTTATAGTGTGGAAAATACTGTATTCATCAGCCCCCGTCAGTACAGTAGAACCTCCACAGGGTCTAACCCGCCCACTTATGTTAGATTATTCATCAGCCCCCATCAGTACAGTAGAACCTCCACAGGGTCTAACCCACCCACTTACAGTGGGGGGAATAAGTATTTGACCCCTTGCTGATTTTGCAGGTTTCCAACAGTGAAAGACAGAATCCCAAAGAAAATTCCAGAAAATCACATCATATGAAAGTTATAAAAATTGATAACCATCTGATGAGGAAAAATAAGTATTCTTTGTAAGTGGGCAAACCTGCAAAATCAGCAAGGGCTCAAATTCTTATTTCCCCCACTGTATATGCTCTTACCCTGTATATATCTAGATCTTAGATATAGAAAACATATTTATTAACTAGGAATAAGGTCTTAGCTCTGTTACACTGGTAGCCAAGTAACGACATTTCGTTGTCAAGATTCACCTTGTGTTTTTTGTAGAATGACAATAAAGGAAGTCTTAGTCTAAGTCTAAGGAATAACAGAATTACAGTGGGGGACACAAGTATTTGAGCCCTTGCTGATTTTGCAGGTTTGCCCACTTACAAAGAATGCAATGATCTATAACTTTAATCATATGTACATTCTAACAGTGAAAGACAGAATCACAAAGAAAATTCCAGAAAATCACATCACATGAATTTATAAAAATTGATAACCATCTGATGAGCAAAAATAAGCATTCTTTGTAAGTGGGCAAACCTGCAAAATCAGCAAGGGGTCAAATACTTATTTTCCCCACTGTACGTTAGATTATTCATGTGTTGGTTCAAATCCCCCATCAGAATACTCTGTAATTCCTAGAATTGGTTCCAAAAACCTACGAACATAGAATAGAATAATTTATTGGTCCCTAAGTGGGGAAATGTACACGTTACAGCAGAAAAAAGGGAAAAAGAACAGTGGTGGCTTAAATGAATAAAGGTTATTTACAATGCAACAAGATAAATAAAGGTAAATGAAGTTATGAAAATATAATAATATAATTATTCAAATAAGAAAATTAAATCAAATGAAATACAGCATAACCTCTATAACAGTCTTACTGGTTCCAGGAGTGACTTCTTTGTTAAATATTGGTGTGTTGGTTCAAATCTTCCATCAGAATACTCTGTAATTCCTAGAATTGGTTCCAAAAACCTACGATAACTCCTTAATAAATACTGCAGATAATCACACATAGCAAGAAAACAAATGACTTCTAGAAGAGAGATGGGAAAAGAAACAAATGATAAAGAAATAATGAGCAAAAAGGGTTTTTATTGTCCCTTTAGCTCAGAGACTGAAGAACGGAGGTAGAGGTGGAGACTGAGATACAGGACCAGCCCTAACTCACTCTGACTTTACACAGGAT